CATACACACATACGCCATACGCACACACTCACAAACCCACAAATTCAAACACACACACGTCTTGTGCGCAGTAGAATTGTAAATGGGCTGATTCATCAATGTCAGGCTCATAATCCTTACTATCGTCTTTTTTCCTCTACTTCTTTGGTATGTTTGTCACACTGTTGTGACCCGCTATTTCCGGGGTGCCTTGATAGTCGAAGCAGACTCTGTTCCGTTAAAGCTAGAGAAGTGAACAGAGTAAGTCTGATTCCCTATAAGGACTTCTCTGTTGACAGTCACCCCTTGGCGCTCATAATTTGACTCATTACTATTCCATCTGTGTTAGAGCGAAATATTTGCATAAGGTCATATGGGCTCCAAGGGGTGAATGTCAACAGAGAAATCCTTACAGGGAATCAGGCTTACTCTGCTCACCTTCCTAGCTTCAACAGCACAGAGTTTACTTCGACTATCAGGGCACACCGGATAGAGCGGGTCAGAACAGTATGATAAAAGAAGTAGAGAATAATATCTATGAATTTGGGAAAGTGACGAGCTGAAAATGTAAGCTTTCAAGGTAAAGGGGACAAAAAAGAATGCTCACATAACTGTAAAGAAAAAAAATAGTGTGACACATCGAAGAAAGGTACAGTAGAAATGAGTATCCCAAACAGGATCATATTAATTATGGACAAGCAAAACCTGTGGACCGTTTCTGTTGTGAAGTGGGCGACAAAGAAATATATAAGAACGGGAAAATCCCCAGACAGGACGTATCTACGAGTACGGGGGCTAACCTATACGTTACCTTGGCTTTCGTGAGCCAGCAGACCATAATGTATCGGTCCACTGTGACTCCCACTGTGAACCAGATGCTGCAGATGATGGTGAGGAAAAAGAACGGGTAGCCGATGTAGCAGAAGAAGACGCCGTACACCTCACTGTTGCCCACAGATGGCGCCCAGAATTGGACCGAGTCGCACAGTAGAAAGAACAGCAAGACGCCAAAGTCAGCCACAGCCTGAGAACCGAGGTAAAAGTATAAGTTATATCAGAAAAGTGTTAGTTTTAGAAAGGACGAGTTTTACAGCACTTACAACACAATGCGGCAATATAAGTCCCGAATATTAGAGATTTTACAAGCATGCCGTTAGTATGTTTATTTTT